TTACTTCTTTCAACAAAACAGTTGACGTACTACTATACAGTCTATTATCGAGGCCATTTGCAAAATTTGGGTCATTTGAAAGTTTAATTGCCAGGTTTTCGCAAAAATGTATATTTGCCACTAATTTGGATAGAATGCAGAGGAAGAGGAGCTGTTGCATTAATACGCTGGTCTTCCCATCTTCTGTTTTAAACCCATGTGATTTGTTTCTTGGTGGGGTTCTTAAGGGTGATTTCTTTGTATCTGACTCCTTTCTAATCTACAAGATCATCACAGCCCACGCTATGTTTATAGCTGATCATGAAATATTGGTCCATATGTGAGGAAACGAAGGGAAAAAAACTGTTACGTTTGTAATAAAGTTAGCACCGGATGCGAAGTTTATGCATTCCGAATTTTTAAAATGCTTCACAGAATTGTGAAAAATCCTCTATGTACCTAATAGTACATGCATGCTGTCATAAATGTCGTGCAACATGCCAATACAACACTTCTGTTGCTAAGTAGTCTTAGCACTAATGTTTTGAATGTAGTATATTTCCAATGTACTTTTAGTCTTTTGCTACTCACGTAATATGTTCAATGTATACTGAAAAGATTTCTATTAAATATCAGGAAAGTAGAAGTTAACAATCATATGTACACCTTGCACAAAAAAAGAGGGGACATTTCGATATCTTCCGTTCTATTAAGCCGATTGATTAAATTCAACTTCCGCTTTTCATGTCTCGAAAGAGTGACTTCAGATTTATAGTTAATTCCCATATAGCATTGTTCTAACTAGGTATTCTGATCCTAAATCGGACTTTTTCTGCAATGGCATGAGAATTTTTTTCCATACTTTGAGTCTACAACTCAAATTTTGCACAAATATTAAATTTTGTAAAATTTCGTGAGAAACTAACTTCAGAAATTAAAAAAAATTATTTTGGGGTACTTTTTTCAATTTGCGCCAAAAAAAATTCACTCGACGAAGTTCTTAATTTATAATTATGAAAGTATGAACAGTGCATCGTTCATACTTTCAAACAATTTTTACAAAGTGCGTGAAGCACCTTTGGAGTTATTATCGCTTATAACAAATATGCCAATTTTCAAAACCTGTTTACTTTGTGTTAACTATAATTTATTTCAATAAAATGTCGGTTTCTTCCTGTCCATCTGGCGTAGTTATTAAAAAGACCTTTACGAATCCTTAACCAGCAAAAATATTTACTGCTTTTTGTGTCTAACAGTTACTTGGGATCTCTCTTCGGCTTTGTAGGTCTTAGAGTCATTCCAAGTAGTGCCAGTGAAATTTACCGTACCAAAAGCGAAACTCCAAACTCAAATAATTAATTTCTACGTAATTAGGCACCTAAATAAACTGGCAGTGCCGCATGATAAGATCATCTTACCTAATTCATAAACTAGTGTAATAAAACACCGATGCATCTTAATTAATATCATTTACATAATTAATTAAACTGTGTAGAGCACCAGTGCTTTTAGAATTAATGATTTTATACATAATGAAATATAAGACAAAGCATCAGCTTCTTAATTTTTTTCTTTTGTATAATGAAATAACTTATGATTCCTCAATACTCTAAACTAATTAAATGACTTTCTAAGCACCCATATTCTCTAATTGATTTAATAACTTGAAAAATTTTCCAATTCATTAAATATAAAATGGAGTGTAGGTGTAATATATTTATGTCATTTTCTTTTATTATAAGATGCCATCGATTCTGAAATGAATCCCTTAAATTCAGTCCATCTTAGAGACATATATAAAGAGGGAAGGTGTGTATTCGTTCAGAAGAAAGTGCACAATTAACAAAAATATACTTTTTCCTCCCCCTTCCTTTTTATGCATGTGTGTATCTGCATCAAGTAAATAAATTCACAAATAGAATTTTTTTTTTTTTTTAATTAAGCGATCTTAAGAACTTTTTATTTTTTAACCTTCTCTTTGACGTCAAAGAAATAGTATTAAACAGATAATAGAAGTAATAGAACAATGATTTAATTTTTAGATACTTTTGACCGGAGAAAGAGTTCATAGTGATAGATAATGCATTTTCTTGCAGCATCCTAGGATATTCATCACTCACGTCGCCGAATTAAAGAATGAGAAACTATTTAAAAATCACTAGAAACCTTAATTGACTTCTTTATCTCTCTGTTCTATCTAAGACCACGTAAAGCTTACACATTTATTATACCAGTGCAAATATCTCTGTTTTGATATCTAAATCAAAAGACTTATTGATTTAATCCAAAGTTTTAAACGAGCTGCAGTATACATGTCAATCTTGAATGCGAGTCTTTTCGGAAGAATGTGTCTACGTCATCAGCCATCAAACCACTGGAACATCCTGACCGCAACGATTCTGTGGATGGATGGAGGCGGGAAAATCGAATGTCATTTTCTCTGATTAAGAAATAAAGTGTAGATCGTTATCGGTGCAGCTGCTGTCCAATGTGACTGCCTTAACATCTTGATCGCCCATTTTTTGATTCCTCGCGAGGGAAAGCATGACTTGGATATTCCCAGGGAGTGCCTCAGTCGCGAATTTAAAGAGATTAGTCATAACCTACGACAGAAAATTTATCACTGGGAAAATTTTCGCAATTATTTTTGATAATTTCTGAGGATTTCTAGAATATGAAAATTTGTCCGCGAATACCAAATAAACTTGCAAATTTTAGAATTTTATCCATATTATTTTCTAATTTTTCTTTTAATTGTTAGATTATGTTTCTTATTTTAGTAACTGTAATTCTTATTGTATTAGGATATGCAAATTGTATTCTAAGAAGACATCCTGCTTAAGAATATAAAGAAGAAGTTTTAATTACTCGTCAAGATTTCAAGTCGAATTCTAGGTCTACAGAAAGTTAGATTTTAATTATACGACAGGAGATGGCTTCTTTAAACAAAACAAAACAAAAACTACGACCTGTTATTCAGCAACCAATAAGCAGAATTGGTGCCAAAAAAATCTCTTTTTTAGCTCGAATGTAAGGATTTACAGAGCAACATATATTGAGGAAATAAATTTGTGTATGTATAATATAATGTATTTAACAAATTTCACTCAAATAGAGATAATGTTCTGTTATATTAGTATTCGATGGAATTTTCAGAACGTGATGATTTATAATATATGTATTAATTTATTATTTTGATTTCGAGAAAGTACTAGAAAATTCTCGCGCGCGATTTTAAAATCTTATAAAAGGAGGAAAACTTCTCAGTTCGTTGTAGTTACTTAGTTAGTTGTTGTTTTAAGAGTTTGTTTAAAGACTGCTCTTGTTGACTGTAGCGAATTCGCGGATTAGCTTTCGTTTAGCTGTTTTGAATTAAGTTCTATTGAACGTTTGAGTAGTTAAAAGTTAACTACTGTGAGATATTGTAATTCTGCACGATATTTGAGAAAATTTAAGCATATTTGTTGTGATAATAATAAATTTTGTTCATTTTTCATCGGACTTGTGCATTCATTTCGTAACGAACCCGTACGCACGCAACAATACTATAAAAGCGTAAAAAAGGTTTTTTACTTGTTTTCTTTCTACGTTGCTTTGACGTTTATTAGTTATTCGCTCTGATAAATTTCGGAGGGCCGTCATTCTCTCCGACTCCAGAGCTGCAATCCAGTACATTAGCTTAACTCACGGTCCTTCCTCCTGAGATGTTTTGGATTGTCAACTATCCATGCAAAAATCCACTGTTCTTCAGTGGAATCTGGGTCACTGTGGACTAAGTGGTAATGAACACGCTGACACATTGGCGAAGAAGGGCGCTGGAGTATTAAAAATAACACGTAGAAATATCCCATTTTGTACGGTAAAACATCTTATCAAGAATTTTTTTTCATCACGACATGATGAACTGAGGGCTCGAACTGCTGCCAAAAGTTGAAGGTTTGAGCAAATAAACATAACCCGTGAGACGGTTGCAATTTTTACACTCTTCATTTAGCATGACTGTTTGGCTGGACACCTCTTTAAAATTGGTGACTTTCCGAATCCTTACTGTACCCTTTACGATGACGATTTCATTATGGCTGGCCACCATATTTCTTACTGCAAAGCTCTTCGTGGGGCTACCTTGGTCGAGCGTTACTGGGAGGCAAATAGTGCAATTGTGACAATGACTTTCTTTTGTTGTGTTTCGCTCTTTGTTTGTGTTTATTGTTACTCATTTTGTCAAGTTTTCTACCACTGGAAATAAAAAAAAATTATGTTATTTAGTCAAAATCTAGTGAATTTGCAATGTATGAAACCAAAATTAACACAGAAAAACCATGAAATTACATAATTTTGTAATTGAAATTATGTTCACCAGAGGGGCTTGTACTTGAAATCATGAATATGTTATCCCTCTTCCTTTTTAAAAAAAAAAAAAACACTTTCAAACGCCACTATTATAATGACCCAAAACAAAAGGAGGAGGAGAATTCCTAACTTGAAAGAAAGATCAGCACCGGATTTAAAAAAATTCGTATGTTTTAGGACCGTGCCGATTGAGAGGTTTTAGCCTGGATATCCATCTAAACAAAATCATTTAAAATATATTTTGAAAAGAAAAAGTACAGATATTTAAAGCCAAGATTAAATTTCTAAAAGCATCATAGGAATTTTAAAACATTTTGAAAATTGACATAGTTAACCTTTTTTTAAGGAGGGACCTTTTTGTAAAAAATAAATTAAAGAAAGGAAATATTTGATTTTCATTGAACAGTATTCTGCTTATTTTTACATATTCTTATATTTTTATTTTGCCCTCGGTGATATTTAAATGATTTCGCATTTTATTATTTTGTTAAATTTTGAATTACGGATTTTAAATTAATGATGCAGAAACAAAACAAATTTTAGGGAAATAAAGTTGCATTTGATGTAACTAGAAATATCCAGTAATCTTAATTAACAAAATTGAATCTCTGGAGATATTTCTCTGACACATTTTTCTAACAAGTAATATATGTGTTCATTTTGTTTTACAGCAGTTCCATTAATGAGCTAAAGAAATACTCTTTGAAGCAAAATCCGAAGTTGAAAAAAGATATAAGGAAAGGTCTATATCCAGAGCTTGGTGCCTTTCGTTCTAAAGGTGAAACAACAACAAAAGGGAAAGTCCGAAGGACTCCAAAACATCTGAAGAATCGTAAGGAAGATATTCCTTTGCATATTTAATCTGTAACCCGCTTTTTGTGCGTGTGTGTGTCTGTGTGTGTTTGCGTGCTCACGTAAAGTTTCTAAAATACTCTGTCAGCTTACAACCAGTTGATGTGTATTAAAAGATATCTAAGAAAAGGTAGTCGTAAAGCGAAGTAGTATAAAGTACTATAATTTGGAATAAATTTGTGAGAAAGAAATAATCGTAAGTCAGATATTTTTCAAATTTTGAAAAGAAAGTATGGGAATGCTGTACTTCGCTTTAGACAACAGTTTATGAAAGTGCTGCTGTATTTAGAATATATATCGTAACATATACTTTTTTTCTCTCCTTCATATTTGCTAAGCTCTCTGTTTTTCTACTTTCCTTTTCTACTTTCAAACAAATTGCTGTTTCATGCTCAATACTTCAGATACTTTGTTCAAATGTTATTTTTCTGCAGATTTGGAGTAGTGTATATTACCATGCATTAATTAAACAATGAATGCTTTGCAATGAATTATGAACTAGAACATTTTAAAACCGAAAAAACATGAAGTAGGAAAATAGAAGAGAAAATTGCGATCCTTATATATATAATGCGCAGATTAAATTTGAAGTTCAAAACCAGAGAAATCGTGCAATTAGTTATTTAAGAGGAATTTAAAAGAATAGGAGTTTGAATAAAATTCTAATTCCACCTACAAATTGGACAAAAATATAGACGCACCTCTTAAAATGCAAGAACTTAAATGTTTATTCTTGCAAAAGTTCTTGTTGGCGCTGCTGTGTTTGCTTACTAATGCCACCTGTACAACATCGTCAATACGCTGCAAGTATCATTCGTTATCGAGACTGTTCTGCAGTTGTGAGTGACATCATGTTGGAGCTAAATGAATTCGAACGCGGGCAAATTGTTGGGGCTCGTATGGTAGGTGCTTCCGTAACCAAGGTAACTGAAGTATTTGGTGTTTCAAGAAGTACAGTATCTAAGATACTCATACAAAGAAAAACCGCATCCGCTAAATTACAGCGTGGTGTGTGTTAAGTGGTCATTACAGACGATCATTGAAGAGGATTGTGACGAAAAATAAGAGGACTACAGCCACAAAACTGACTGCTGAACTGAATGTCGCACTCGCAAACACTGTCAGCACCAAAACAATAAGAAGGGAACTCCACAAGCAGGGTAATTTTGGCAAGAGCCACTTATCAGTGATCAAAATGCATGTAAGAGAAGAAAGTGGTGCCAGAATCATAAAACCTGGACTGTAGAACGACGAAAGACTCATTTGATTGGATGAGTCTTGCTTCACATTGTTTCCGATTTCTGGGCGAGTTTACAGCTGGCAAACACCGTCTCAAGTGTATGATAGAAATTGTTTACTGCCGAGAGTGAAACACGGCGGGGGTTCGGTCATGGTTTTAGTAAACTTTACCTTACTTAGATATGTTGGTCCATTTAGAGTTGGTGCTTATCAGCCTGTTTAAGTCCTACCAGTGATTCTAATTTTGTTCGCTGATATATCACTTTTTTGAAAAAATGTGCATGTTATGCGTTTTTCAAGTTTATGGCATTTCTTTTCATGGCTACCACAGTCACCAGTTATCAATAACATTGGGCCTTCGTGGGCTATTTTGGAGAGAAATCTGCGGGAGCGCTATCCACCGCCACAATTGTTAAAGAACTGTTTATCTGAAAACAGTATTAAGGAGGTGGATAACTTCATACAGGATAGAAACAACTGCACTATAGTAACACAACATAACTGCGTGAGTGCTTACAAAGATGGTTCTTTTAATACAACTTTTATTAACATAAGATGCAACTGAGCTTAACAATGGTCAGAATTGTTCTCATGGAAATAATTATGATATACTTTGATACTTTGCTGTTTTTCCTGGCATTCATCAGGATGATTTGTTCTTGCTCTTGCCAGTATTCTTAAGAATGTCGACTGGGCTGACATATGATGAAGTATGAAGATGAGAGTTCTTCATACAGGTAGAACTGAAGAGGAATTTTGATATATGAAGCTATTATTAATGAAATTCAAAATTAGATTATTAAATTAGTGGCACTTAAACGGTCTACTTTTGAACAATAAATATATTTTGCAAAAAGAAATTCATGCCTCCATACAAAACGCTATAAATATTTAACTGAAGATAAATCATTACACTCTTAACCTAGGTTATAGGCTTCTACTCATCTACCTCCGATATTTATCTATCTGGGGTTTGTCTGTTTTACCTGTCTATCTATTTAACAATATTCACCACCCTATCTATATGTTTGTCTTTTCGTATTTATCTAATAATTTGCTTATATTTATGCCCAGCTAGTAAGCTATGTATATCAGCTTAATTGGTGCTACAAGGTAGGAGGAAAATGTAAACTGATTCTGAAATTTATCAAAATTATGTGACTTAAACTAAGTTTCGTACGAACTCCACAGAAAAAAATATAATCCCAAAAAGTATTTCTCTTAGAGTAAACAGACGAACAAACGAAACAAAAATGTCCACCCTTAATATGATCTAACAGGGACCGTAACGGACATATAAAAATAGCTACGCATATAAGTTTTCGAATTCAGAATTCTAAAGGACACCTTTTACATTAGAATAAGCATTAATTTAAAAGAACAGGTTTCAATTTCCCATTTATAAAAATTTTTAAATTGAAAATTTTTTGTTAAACATCAGTCAGTTTACACTGAAAGTTGTAGAGGTTACTTTAAATTTCTAACAACTATTTTAAGTTTAAGCATGCTTTACTGTCTATTCTCGTTTCCCATCTACCAGAATGAGGTTTTAATATCGCATTGTATACAGCTAAGCTAGAAGGAGTATTTAAGGAAAGTTCAGCTTATTTCAAGAGAGAGAGAGTTTGGGCGTCTTTAGTTGTGCGTGCTTTCCGTCAGGCTACTTAGTTATTAAATCGACTACGCTCGGCCGTATAGTACGTGCCTGTTGATAATCGACGGCTAAGTTAAATTAAAGGCCGACTAAGTTAGGTATTTGTGTCTAGCTTTGGTTAAGTCAGTTTAGTTTAGTATTAGATTAGGTTCTTATTTTTCTTATCTTCATTTGAAGCCCGAGTCGAGACTTCCCTGTACGCCCGAGAAAGGGCAGTTTGTGAATAATTCTTTCAGTGAATAAAAAAGTATTTTAACCCTTCTGTAGACTTTGTTGTTATACACGTAAACTCAGCGATAAGTCGCTTCACAGTTCATTAGGTTCCTCTACGTTCAGCATAGACCAAGAAGTGAGGAACATTATAAATTGACATTTTATATTGTCCGTTCATCAGTGTGAAATGGCATATATTATACAAATCTGACAAATGTTTTCAGAGATAACTGTGCGTATTACATAATCTTATTTAAAGTTATCATTAGCAAGATAAGGGAAGACTTATTAATCAAAACTTCCATTGCACGCAAAAATTTAAATTTTACATATTTTAATTACATTGGCCGAAATTGTTGTACGCTGAAAGTCCTTTTCTTAAGTTTCATTCATTTCACACATTGGAAACATGGGTCTACGATCAAATAATTCAAGAGATATTCAACTTTACAGGCTTTTGGAAACACAAGAATGTATATGCAACACACATGCATGTATGCTCGTTTGTTAAATAAATATATGTCGAGGGTCTGATTTTGAATTCTAACATGAAATGTAATGAACTGCGCTTGAAATGATATTCGAGTTCGATTTCGCGAACTGTCTTTTGCTATGCATCGACGAAAATTAAAGCTTGTTAATTATTAAATTAATATCTAGAAACATTGATGGTTTGATGAAGAAAATTCCGAAAATGAAAAAAATATACCCACGTATATAAATACACAGACATTAAAAAGAAGGACCAAAAGAAATACTGTGAAGCTATATTTGAGGTTATTGACCTCTTATTTTCGAGTCATACTTTTCCTATTGACCAGAACTTTCCTGAATGGATTGATTGACGCTTGATTTTTAGATGATCTTCAATTACATGCCTCGTGAAAGAGCTTTCTTTTTAAAACACAGCTATTCATATCAACGCTTAAGCTGTTCTTAAACCGTCTGCTACTCATTCTCTTTTACAAAATAAACAAAAAAACATGCCCATGAACTCATGCTAGAATAAAAAAACAAGATAAAAAATAACAAGGTCTTTTCGGTTCCTTTCAAAAACTCAAAGGGTGCAATGATTGCTTTGCTGGGCGAGCTGCTCATTAACTGCTTTCTCGATTTTACTTTTCGTGTCATTCTTATCGATATAATCTTCCTTTTCGAACAAAAATAATAATAATAATAATAATAATAATTGCGGCTGAGGTTTATAATTCACATTCTAAAGAGTTTTCAAAATTAAGTTAAATGTAATAAACAAAAGAAAAAATTTAATTTTGCTGAAATTTGAAAATTCATTTCTGTCTAAACATCTGTGGTAACATTTGTATATAGAGAAAACCATCGTTTCTACTTTCCCCCTTCCTCCATATATGGCTTTGAAGAAAAGGGCTAGTAGTTTTTCGTTGATACATTTTCGCAAAATTAAAATGCGATAAAGTAATAGCTAATTAATGCATTTAAATTTTAATGCTATCATTCTCGTTTTCTAAGATTTATTTTCCTTAATGTATTGTTATTCATAGTTATTTAAGTTCTGTGAAATAAGAATTCAGCATTGGAATCCTTCAGTAAGGCTTTGTGTTGAATCTATGGGATTATGAAAAACACTCGTATTCTTTTAGTTATCAAAACACTTTTAGATGGGTATTTTTCAGTCGGATTTTATGGAAAGAAAAATTAAATTATTTCAGTGCAGTATACGTACACACAATGTTTAATTTGTATTTTAAATATCTGAATAATTCTATATAAGGATTACAAATTTTATCAGAATTCATTAACCCGAGTTTTGCTTTTTTCTTAAGCTATAAACGCATATTCTTTCGTTATGCTAAGGATAATTTTTTTTGTTTCTGGTTTTATCATGTAGACTATCT